TGTTCTACTTCTGAAGCAGGAATGTAAGCTGAAGCTTCGGAAAGCTTTAGTCAAAAGACCTGACAACCTCAAATTCAGTGCAGAAACTTATACATGGAAAACACCTATTTATTGAGGAGCTGCACTCAAGGCTGTTCCCTTACAACTAATTCAGTAACCATCCTCTTAGTAGATGTACACCTTCCCCAGCTCATTATTTAAGGCAAAATAATTTGTTCATTTTTAGTTTTCTTTCACAATTCAGATCCCATAGAAAGGTGTGCCAAGACTACATGCCAGTTGATTTATGAAACTACAGCTTGAAAACCCCTTAACTATACAGATTTGTCACTAAGAAACCAGTAGGCAAGAAGACAAACTTTTTAAAAGGCAACTCACCATGTCAGGGCTGGCAATAAGACAGAATACGAGATAAACAATATTTTTCAACATTAACCTTAAAGTCTAGCACTGAATGCAAGGGTTTACAAAGAGGGGAGGCTGGATTTACAAGTTAATTTGTAAACCAGCAAAGCTACAGTTCCTCAATACTTTTGTCAACGTAATAAAAATTTCTCACAAATGATCACACTTTGTTGCGGTATGAGAAAATTTTTCAGTCTGGACTTCCAGTCTGAAAAATAAGTCTTTGAGCAAAGATTACAATTAATTGATCTAAATACTGATGAACACAGATGTTATCTTGCAGATTTAAGAAACACTCCTTTACTCACAATTTGTTTACGATGTTATGAAAACTATCTATCTGCACTGATCGGTAAACTTAAGGAACATAGTAATGGTTTAAAAATAAATGCAGCACTAAAACTGAGGTCCTCATAGCTAAAAGCTAGCAGGCATTCTAAATCTGAGCTTTGTCAAATCCAAAATATTCATATTTTCATTTGCCAGTGTCATATCTGTATTGAAGAATACTACAGTTACGCAGATAGGAGTAAAATGGTATTCATTAGTTACTTCCCACTGTTAAAGAGCAATAAAAACAGTTGATACTATAAAGGATGCTTTCTTTACAAGCCACAGGACCCATCAAGGCCTATTGCTCTGCAGTTATTGAGAATCATTTAGAAGAACTGATTTACTTTTGACTATATACTCATGGGTGCATCTGCCACTTTCTTTACATGCTCCTCACCAACTTGATCCCTGGTGAAAAAAAACAAACCAAACCAAAACACAAAACAACAACAAAAAAAACCCCACCCCTTCTGGGCAAATGACACAATGACTCATTAAACCCTTTTAGCCATGATGATGCTGTTAAACATTTATGTCACTTCTTTAGTGACATTTTCCACACCACTGTGTTTTTCAGCGGGAGGCAGACATTTACCAGGGCTCTGGTTTGGTGCTGCACGTACACCTGCACATCCAGCTTATCTTATCAGCTCAGAAATTGTTACTGACATCGTAACAGCAGTTATTTACATATACAGAATTAACAGTTTGTTCTGCTACTATTAACTCCCAATTTCAAACAAAAAAAAAAAAAAAGTCATTTTCTTGCTCTTTGAGAGTACAAATGATTGTACATGAAGACAACAGCCTTGTAAAGTACCTCATACATCCCTTTAAATGTTAAATGAAAGTTTATTAGATGCTGAATAAAAGCTAACTTAACTGAAGCATCACACATATTGATCTTCCGTAATTCAATTGCATTTTACTGTTCACTGCAGACAAACTTAGTTTTCCTGTATGTATTCAGTTGGGAGACTTACTGAAGCAAAGTAACCACATTTTGTATCAAATTATTTTTCAGCTGCTTTATATTGCAGACTTCAGTTTCTTTTTTTCTAGTCTCATAATAGTTTAAGAAAAAAAAAATCATGTTCCAAAAGCAAAGATTTAACCTTACTAGCTTGAGGTAAAAGTTGCCTAGGTACGTAAGGGTCCTTCTGAGCAGCTATTTTACTGTGGCTTGCAGTTGTGTGTGGTTTTCTGTTTTCAGTGTTCACAAACTAAATAGTTAAGTGGAAATTAGACTTCTGTTGGCATCTGTGGATTCAAATTAAGGCAGAAAAAGGGCAGTGGTGAGGCATGCAAAACGTTCCTAAACCTCCTCCTTCCCTCTTGCTCATTTTCTTTAAAATTAGAGAAAATAAAAAAAAAAAAAAAGAAGTTGTACTTAAATTTTGTTACATTGGAAACATTAAGACCAACATTTTTTCCAATCTATGGTAAACAACATATCTAACTTATTTTACTAACACATGCAAAATTGAAGATGTTGCAACATGAAACAGTCTATTTCTGGTCTGAAGTACTAAGACTTTATACTATTAAGAGATAAGTAAGTATGTGGTTGTGAGTAGGTATGTGTGAGGTGGGATGAGAAAGGGGACAGGAGGAGCAAGAGAAATAAACACACACACTACAATCCTAAAGCAGTGCAGCCTCCTTCAAAAAGGAGATGTTCCAATACCCTTCAAAAAGCTATTGTCTCAAGAAGTTTAAAAAACCAAGAGAGATGAAAGGGAGTACAAACAGTTTCCCTCCAGACACATTTTCATTTACTAATTTTCAAGACAACACCAAGTTGCAAGAGACAACAAAACTTCAGGTTAATCCTTACAAGCAAGTGTATCAAAGAAGGGAACAGCTGTAAATACGACAAAGTACTATCAATGTTGAGATTGCAGTTTTTCTCCAGCTCCAACTTTAGCTTAATAGAAGATCAGTCATCAGTGAAATTAAGCTTTCTGTCCCATAATTTTATGTCATCTTTATAAAGTATGTGGATCATAGCAAGTTTCAAATAAGGAGGTCCAGCCTCCCTGAACAGTTCCACTTGACTTTCATCACATATCTTGACTGACAGAGTAGAATGCCATTAAACACTGAACAGTGAAGTAAACTCTCTGAACATAAACTGGCTGATATACCTTTCTTACAATAAGGAAATGACCCTCTAGTTCTGGATGTAAGTGCCATGAGTACTTCTATTATTTACAATCCTGCTGACCAGAGAAAAAACTCCCAACGTGCATTTTTTGTAGTCAAGTAATCTAATCAAATGACAGGAAAATTCCAATGTAAACTAAAACCAAAACACAAACAAAGAAACCTTTTCCACATCAGCATGTCATGATTTCTATGCAAGATCTCTGGTTTGAAGTTATTTCATTTAGAAGCACGCCAGATGTTTTATTTCAGTAACCATAACAAAGTTCACCATCATTTTGAAGACTTCATTTTCTATTACCTAATGATTCTACACCTAGCATTATGCTAAGGTTTTTTTATTTCACACTTGAGTAGTACTTACATAAGAAAAATAGTGTCTGTTGTGTGTGTTGTTTTTCTTATAGAGTACTATGAAGTCATCAGTTGGTGAAAACTGACTGCAATTAGCTTCAGGCTCCAGCAGTATATGTTAGTCTCTTTCAGTAGTCAGAGTAAAATTCACAGAATATTAGGAACTCTTTAGTGTCCTAGTTAAAACTTCCAACAGCTGCACCCATTGAGTCATTCAAAGAACAGAACAATTCTGTACCCAATTTAAGTACCACCACATACAGGACCTAACAATCAGTGTTTCCCAAAATTATTTAGTGGCAATATATAGAAGACAGTTTGGCTTCATAGCCTAGAGAGTCAAATTTGAAATAACTAGCTAGATCAGTAAAGCCTTTTGTTCATCTGAAATGTCAGAAATTTTGTATGAGTAAGATTACCATGGAGGGGAGGTTCCTGAAGCAGGACTATTTTAAAGAAATCATAACACCCCCTAGAATTTGCAAAAAACACTAAGCACTGTTTTCTCCCCTTACATTTGACCAAGTGGTACTTTGATAGTATTTTGTACTATACAGCTGCATTCCATAAGAACTGTTCATACAGGATACAGGGCTCAGTCCTGTAAGTTTCTGCACGTCCCATTACATAGGTACCTCACTAAGTGCTACCTCAATATCTTTTCAAATAAGTAGGAAATATCTGTGCTCCAGCATCTGGCTTCCAAGTGCTACTATGTTAGAACAAACACATGGAAACTTGTTAATCATTCTAGTTCAACTCTACAAGCAGAGTCAGATGGAAATAGCCAGACTGACAGTTTATGAAAGCTGTGTGCACTTTTTCACCAAACTTCCCATGATATAGGGAAGACCAATATTTGTGTGTACTCACTGTTTCTCTTTAGCTTTGATAACAGGAAAACATATTTATACTTGCTTACCCTCTTGATATAAAAGCTAAACAATTTCTATTTAAAACAGTACAGAAGTCAAACAGACTTTGAATCAGAGAAATTTAAGCCACTGGACTTAATCTATCAGTATTTATGTTAAGGCTGTGTGTTACTGCTATTTCACAAGCAAACTCACAGTGGCTCACAGGATCCCTCGCCCAGTCAGTCAGCAGTTAGGCTCCAGGCATCACACCAGAGATCCTCTCCTTGTGACTCTGGAGCAGGAACATTGTTTGGAAAACACTGTCACTTCACCATACATGTCCATGTCTCTTTGCTGCTAGGTACACCCAACTCAACTATGACTGTATTGACCAGCAAGATGCATAGCACTGGCCAAAGCAGAAAAGTAAAACTGATGATTACCTGTTGCAAAGAACAAGGCAGAGCTCTCCAGCAGTACTTAAAACAGTTCAACAGGAACTATGCCTCTCACAGAGCTAAGTCTACTGACACTTGAAATAATTTGAACAAAAATGTAAACCAGAACATAAAATAAAGCATATAACATGATTTAGTGGTCAATAACAAGAGTGAGGTGAATGGAAGACAGCTACATAAATAACAGAAAAAATTGCCACAAGGTCACTGAAGTGACTGCTAGAAAACTGCTGATCACTGTTTAAATGGCCAAGAGGATGATTTACAAATGTAACAGAACCTACAAATCCAGCTGCAGCAATACTTCATCTTTCCTTCTTCCATTTTTATGTATGAAACACACTACCATCTGCTGGACAAAGTGCTGAACTAACCCAATAACATACAAGGTTTTTCGTTGTGAGAACCCCTTTACCATCATGTTTACCTGAGGCAGATGCAAAACAACCTGGGATGTGTGGAGACCATATAGTGCTGTAAATGACCCCTTCGTGGCCTTTAAAAGTGCATAATGACTTCCCCACAGCTGGATCCCACTGAATAAAGTGAAAAGAAAACTGTTGAGGTACACATTCAGTTAGAAAGGAAAGGGTTTCATACATAAAAAAGCTCTATACATATAGGAAGGACTAAAGGAACTTCTTTTTACCATGTATAATGAAAAGCATTTGTATACTTAAACTGTTATGAACTGAGGGTTAAACCAACACCTCAGTTAAAACATAATTTCAGCCTCAGTGTAAAAATAAAGAGGAAAATTGAATCAATGCTGTTTCTTAACACAAAGAACTATTAGATCCAAAACAAATCACATTTATCGCCTTCAGCAGAAAACCAACATACCAGCTTGGCTGTTTGATCCCATGAACCAGACACCACTAGCTGCTCTCCTCTAGTTTGGCTCCAGTCAACACTATATGCCTATAAACAATATAACAGCCTAGTTTAGAAAGAGCATTAGAATACAAGTTTAAGATTCTAATTAGCCAAAGTTTCATGAAATAGACTTGGATTTGCAGACTGTTTTGTAGTCAGCTAAAAAACATACCAGTCAAGCACCACAAAGCTGTCAACAATACCATTTACCTAAACAAAAAATAAATTTAACATCTCAGTCTGGCATTAAAGGTACAGATAGGCTCAGAAAAGTATCCAAAAAAGGTATAGATAGGCCAAAATGGAGAAGGGGAGAAAAAAAAAAAAAATCATAACAAAATCCACATAGATTCAAAATCAGTAGATGTTTCTACCATTCCAAAAAGCCATAATTCAGACTGTTTTCTTAACTCTGATCCAATTTTATTCAAATATCTACAGTTTCTAATTGCTAGCAATGTAAATGCCATCTTTCTTCAGAGCTTATTTTGAAGTTTTAGCTGACTTACAATAAATGCTCTTTTATGTGTAATTCTTATAAGAAATACATGCTATAAAATACTCCTGATTTTCATCTTTTCTGGGTTCTATGACACTCTCTTCTTATCATTAATACACTGAATTACAATAAAATTAAAAACTCAACTTCTCTCATGACTAATTTCAGCTATTAACAAATTTCTTTTTACTGTGTAGTAGAAATCAGCTCCCTCTGATAGTTTATTCTGTTGGGGTGGAGTTGGTCCCCACCTTGACAGAGAATAGCTTAATTCTATCCTTCACCGCTGATTTTTCAGCTCTGCCGTCTCAACTAAAACAAACGCTCTAAAGTAGATCTTTAAATTACTTCAAACCTTCAAATCTGAAAGTATCAAGAGCCTGTACAACTTCCATCTTCAAATGCGCTGTATCTTTATCTACATGATGGAAGGTACCTTCTATTCTGTCTAGTTCTGCCTCACACCAAAATGGCTCAATAAGTTGTGATGGGACATGAACTGTTTCAGCTAATATTTCTCCAACTTAGCACTGAAATCGTTCCTTTGCTTTACCTCCTGACCCAGTCAGACCTTCCATGACACTTCTCAGAAACGTGGCCACTACCTACCAGTAGTAGGTGGTGCTGTTCCAAACAGTCGGGCCACTAACCACTGAGGATTTGTACTCCAGCTAGGACTATCTAGTTTTAGCACGGCACTGGATCTAGTCTGCAAGTCAACATATCAGATGCTGTGTTTGTCTTGATTCAATGGAATTGTGCATTAAATGACAGTGACCCTGTTTTTAAGGTGAAAATGTTTGGACCTGTATCACCAGACAAAAAAGCAGAGAAGCTGGATTGGAAAAATAAAACAAACAAACAAACAAACAAACAAACAAAAAAAAAACAGCAAAAGTCAAAGTCTTCTGTGGAAAGTATCCTGTATGAGAAAGGAAAATGAAGTATCATTTATCTACTTCTGCGCATTTTTCTTTCCTAAGAAATATTTCAATCCATGAAAGATCCAGCTAAAATTAACTTCTTCATCTATTTGCTTATTTCCCATAAGTGGAAGGTAACCCCTGCCCACAGAGAAGAAGTATATTATCCACAACTTTCCTTTTTTATTGTACAATGTCCTGCTTCCCATATACTGAAAGGCATATTGCTCTGGCACCAAATGTACAAGACACTCAGACAGTACTTGACAAAAGCCAAGTAACAAACTGAGATGTAATGCTTTTGTTTGTTTTTCCAAACCATGCCTTTAACCTCTTGGCTTTTCTGTCAGCTAACTACCAGTACTATAACTCATTAAAACACCCTTCCTTTCAACCTGACTCCTCCTATTAAAATCATAACAAAGGAGACACGAGAAGTATCTGCTCATATTTTAAGAATGGAAGATATCATGGTTCTCCAAACTGGCTCCCGAGGTCCTCACAAACATTAGCCTCTCTCCTTCCCCCTCAACCTGTGTGACAGACTGTGTTCAACTCCTAAACTGTTGCTGTTTGGAAATGCCCCTAAATGAATCTCTACACAGTATGCCCCTTTCACACAACAGCCCTATGAAATCAGCTCAGTTGAAGCCTTTGGCTTTCATATTCACGTCCAAAATTTAACAGAAAGAAATATGTCTCTGAGAAACATGCACCTGGGTCACACAATTCACCTAGCCCCACATAGCTGGGATGCATCAGATCTACGGCACAGATAAGGCAAAGTGCACATATGGCTCACAGCTCACTCGTGACCTATCAACACATAGATCTGTTGAACATGTGTTGTGACACAGATCTGTATACATATGGCAGACACGGCTGGACTGCTCAGCACTCTGCAGCTGCATCAGAGGCAAAGGGACCTGGGCAAATTCTCCTTCAGGCAACAGTTACAAACAGAACAGACAACAGGCTCAGAAAAAGCAAGAGCTATTTCCCATTTGGCGTGTGCCAGGTCCAGGTAATGGGAAGAGAATGAAAAGAAGGACGTGTGGAGAACCACGTAAGGTTCACTTTTATTCTTCTTTCCTTTTCATGCTACCATCCAACATAAATTTACAGACGCTTCAATAGAAGCCATGTTGAGCAACTGGGAAAGACTAATAACACAGCATAAACCTTAGCTGTTAATCTTTTAGTGCTTTATCTTCGATCATAAAATACATTAACACTAGTTTATGCCTGAACAGCAGCAAGAAATGCCTCAGGCAAGATGAAAAGATGATGAAAAAACGTATGTAAAAACATAAAAAAATCATTCAAAATAAATGTTCAGGCTCACTTTACAATACAAATTCAATTCAGGCATTCTATAGTCTCACATTCCAGTGAGACTTCATCAAAACCAAAGTAAATTAAACTTATTTATTAATGAGATTCAGCAGTTGGTAAGTGCTGGAATAAAATTCATTGTCCTTTGATAATAAAGATGCGCTTTTAAATTAAAAATGCACATTCTTTGTGAAGAGGGACAATGATCTCATTTAGAAAACAAGAAGCAGATCCCTGTCAATTTTGAATTAGAACTATAATAAGGTACAGTGACAAAACTCTCATTGGAAATGTCAGACAGGGATTAAGGATTAGGAAGGTAATCAATCATTTTAAAGAGCACTGTCTGCCAGTGTTTACCACAAACTATTAGGTATATTCTCTCTGAGATCTATCCTCTTAATGCATGTTTATAAAGAATCAATACAAACCTTTCATATCTCACCACAAACACTCAGCCCATGTGTCCTATACTGTCTTTCTAACTCATGGCTAAATGTGTCCACCTCCCCACGACACCTGCTAAACTAAGACTTGGACACAGAAATGTTTACTTCACAAACAACAGATGGTGTAGCAGAACCAAAATTAACTAATGGACTGAATTTCAATGGGAAAATGAGAGAGACAAAAAAAAATCTGTACTGTGATTTGCCTACATCTTTCTGTTACCACCATCAACCTTTGAACACTCTCATAAAATCCTGGTCACAACTACAAACTCATCTCTCAAAATTCTTTATTTACATAGTACATGTATTAAACCAAAGCAGGAAAATTACAAAGAAATAAGGTACAGAAGACAGACTGTCATGTAACTGCAGACACTGTTTTAGCTTTGTGCTTCATATCTGAAAAAATCTTGAAGATTTTGTGAATACAAAACTGGATTACTTCCATCATTTTTTATTGACTACATATCTACTAGGTTATTTTATTCAGATTTATGTAATTTTGACAAAATGTCAGCAATTCAGGCTAAAACTGATTGCATCTAAAGTTCAGACTTGACAGAAGCAAGTGGAGAGTTAAAAGGAAAGTATGGTGAAAAGTACAGAAAAATCACTTGGGGGAAGATAAGTATACACGTCCTTAAAAATATACAAATACATTTATGAACATGCATATAACATTCTTCTCTACCCATACTGTACTGCATAAAGAAACTGAGATTTTAAGAAAATCAAATGCAATGGTATCAAACCAAGGCTAAAAAACATACATGCTGTCCCAATATTTGACTAAAGTTATTTGAGTAGGACCTCACAGATGCTAGGATGGAGAAGGATAAGCAGTTCCCAGGTACAACAGAAGTCCTAAGGATCAGCATAATGTGTATCACACTATAACCTCAAAGATAATACTACTATATACATGAGCTGTCCGATCTAGGCCTCTCCAATAATGCTCTATAAAAATCACAGAATGACTGCAGTACTTCCACAGAATCCAATGATTACTTAGCCTATAAGAAACCACAAACACTATTTCTGAACATATTAGATTTATGTAATTAAGTGGTACCTACTACAGCATACGAATGTACACATGAAAACGCACAAGTAATTCACTTCATATTCAAAATAACGTTAAGTTATAAATTCAAACCACAAACACAAACAAAGTTTAAAAATAGATAAAACCTACTTTTGATTATAAGTCCGCAAATAAATCTTGCAATACTTCAAACATTAGATCATCCTTAAATTTTTCAAGTTTGCCCAGTTTACCTCTTGAGTGTGCTCCTTATAGACTTGCAGAGGACCTTTGGTTTTAGCTGTATCCCAGATTTGCAGAGATCCATCTCCACTAGAAGTGATCAACACATGTTCATTATTCTCACTCCAGGTCACATCAAACAGGCCATCATTCCAGTCAAAACTAAATCAGAACAATGAAGATATTTGTCCATGAGAAAGTGTGACATAAAAGTCTGGACTAGTTATATGCAAGACAGTATTTCTTTAAATCACCCTCTTTACCATTCTAAACAGAATTTTTATTATTTGAGTTTCCAGTAAATCTCCTTACAAGTAGATTAATTGTTATAATCTCAACTTTTACAACTGCATGTCTGAATAGGTTGATTAAGTTAAAGCACAAATGAGCCAAGGACCTTTCACACACACAGAATGAAATGTCATTTCAGTATTAAGCTTGCCAGGCAAATAGAGACAGAGGTACCAGATGTCTCAGTCTGATCTACAGTTTCTCCAGAATGTTGCTACAGAGGTAGAAACCCTTTGTCCGTAACAACTGTGGTAAACAAAGAAATAAAACTGTGTTGGGAGAGCTCTATCCATTTCAGAACAGCATTAGCAAGCTGAGTCACAATGAAAAGCCAACAGAAAGACAGTCATGAACATCCTAAAGATCTCTACAGTCCTGTAAAAGAGCTTTCACACTGACAATTCATCATATGGGATCTGACACCATATATTAGTTGCTCTGCAACAACTACCAATAATCGTGCTGTTATCTGATGGTAAATATGCCTTTATTTACCCCCCTTTCACTGATGGTTCAGCTAAGCTCAGGTTAAACTTCATGGCACCCTGCAGTAATGATGAATGAAATACAGAACGTTTTGATACAGAAAATTACACAGTTTACTGCTCAGGAAGTTACAGGACTTTCTACCACAAAATATGTGGAGTCACCGGAAACATAGAAATGAACAATACTAAACCAGAGCACTTAACAGAATTTACAGAGCACTGAACAGCTCCAAACACTCTTGTTTTATAATTATGAATTTTAAGAAGTTTATCTGAATGTGATTATTTGTTAAATATTTCTATTTCAGCCTTCTTAATCTAAACAATTGCTGTTTCAAAACTTTCTTTGAAAAAAAATTAGGTCAATGATGGTCAAGTATCAAACCACCTCCTTCCTAACCTTTCTCCTCCTCCCACTCAGAACACAAATCAACCTCCTCTCAAACCCTTACAATACTGGATCTCCTAGGAATGATTTCCTTTACTTTATGCAGCTTCCTGCTCTATTTTCAGTATAAATCAATCAACAGGACATAGATTTAGGTGGTAATGCACTAAAGCTAAAACTTTCCATTTCAAGTTAGGGCAGAGAGGCTGCTTTTAATTTACACTGTCAGTTTTCTATAAAATGGTTTACACTCCAGAAAGGGTGCAATCCAGATTACTACCTACTATAAAATCTATGCAATATAAGCCTATAACTTGTATGTAAATACAAACACATTCATTTGTAAGTAAATACAAAGACATGTATTCAGTAGATACTATAGCATGGATACAATACTTTTTATGGGTTGTGTCTTGTACTCATAGATACATAATGTTTTTCTCTTACAAATATAAAACATAAACCTACGTTACCTCCTGAGCAGAGCAATCCCAACTTCATTTTGTTCCAGCACTGCCAGAGTTCCACAACCTAAACCAGCAACATAAAACAAAGCATCACAACTAGTTCCTCCATGCCAAAAGGAACTACTGCAGTTCTGAGGTAGCTCCAGGCTGCAAATACAGTCAAGAGACCAAACAGTTGCATAAACAAACATCTTGTTGTCTCACATTCTCCAAAACAGTAATTCATTTACATTAGATTGGTTTGGGTTTTGGGGGGGTTTGGTTTGTTGTGTTTTTTGTTTTGTTTTTTATTCCAGTATATCTGTAGGTTAGGTTGTAAAAGAAACAACTCACTTATAAAGCCTAACTGCATTTTCCCCATGAGCCTCACATTACAGACATACCAGCACCGGGTTCCTTTTTACCTTTTTGATAGCAGACCTAACACTTTTTTTTTTTTTTTTTTTTCCTCCCCTGAATCTAGTAATACAAACACAGCTCATCAGAAGTGAAACAACTAATTCAGTTCCAAGCAAACACACATGGACAATGCCTTCCTATGTGACTGGGATATTGTCAATGTAATTCCACATTTAGAAACTTATTTAAAATGAACGCTTTCAGGAGCAATACTGTCCCTGGCAATGAAAAACGTCCCAACGCCGAGGAAGGCTCAGCGCACCCCCGCGGCGGGACCGCGGAGTCGCCAGGGCCCGTCTGGACACGCGGCGACTGAGACCAGAACAGCTAAAAATTTTACGGAGCAAACGTTTTCAGTCCTTTCATTCACACTCCGCACGCCGCCGTCGCTACGTTCATTACCGGCCCTGCAGAGCCCGCGCTCCCCAGCGCGGGCCGCGCGCAGCGCACCGCCCGGGCACGGGGCTCGGAGGTTCGCCAGCCGCCGGCGGGGCGGCGCGCGGGGCCCCGCGGGCAGCACCGGGCTGGCGGCCCGCTCCGCCGCTAACCCCGGCCCGCCTACCGAAAGCACACGTTGTACCAGAGCAGAGCAAAAGCAACGGAAAGGGAAAAAAAAACCCCAAAGCGCTTTTACAGGCACTGACTGTCGCTCCGGACACCCAGATTTCCAGCCACGAGCCGCCACCGGGAGCATCCGTTAACGGCTACCCTCACCCCCCCGCCACACACACACACTCCGCCGCCATGCCCGCACCTGCGATGCCGTAGTACTGCGCGGCGGCGCAGGCCACACGCCCCGGCCAGTACGGCGAAAACTCCGCCGCGTAGCCGTGCAGCCCGGGCAGCCGCAACACACCGGCACCGCCCGCCATCCCCGCGGCCCCTGCCCGGGCCTCGGCCGAGGCGCCGCCGCGCCCCCGCCCGGACCTGCCGGAAGCGCCCCGCCCGCCGGGCGGTGCTGAAGCTGCGGCGCCGCCGCCATCTTTGGAGCTGGCAGAGGGAGGCCCGGGGCGCTGCCGGCGGGGCAGGCCGCGGCGGCCCCGGCCCTCCGGGCTGCAGCGGGGGGCCCTGCTGCGGAGAGCACCGCTGCCGCTTCAGAGGCTGCCGGGCTTGGGTGGCCGTCCCGCTCTGACCGACTGCAGAGGGGGTAGCTGCAGCCTTGGGCCTCAGTGATTGATCCTTTCAGTGCAGGCCTGTCCTCCGACCGCATCAGAGGAAAGCTGCCAGCCCGGGGGGGAGTTGGGGGGGACTGCTGAGAGATGTACCGCTTGCCACGGTTAGGCTTTCATACGTACCCGAGTGTGATTCATAATTAAAGGTCATCTGGCCCAGACCAGGCCTCTGACTACTTGCAGCGCATTTCTCATGATAAACAATTCTGCAAAATCGCCTTCCAGTGAGAAGATCACTGATGTACTTCAAAGACATGCATCAGCTCACTGTGTGTGCATCAGCTTGAATGTAGATGTTTCAAATCATAAATATGTATGTCACCTGTCAGTTTTCTCTTTAAAAAGCCTTTCTGAGCTATTTCATCCTCTAATTTATTGAGTAGATCTGGATATTTTATCATTCTTGTGATGCAGTTATGCTTCATGGAAGTCCTTGAAGGAACAAACTCAGGTTTTCTTATGCCTGTGACAACATCTGTTGAAGTCAGTGGGAATTTCGCCTTTGAAAGGAAGGAGGGGATTCAGGCTTAGAAAATAAACATCTTGGCAGAGCAGCAGCTGCCACTTTTGTTACATTCTATCTTGTGTGTATATACAGGACTTCAAAATACAGATGCAGAGATTATTCCAGTTGGATGCAGACTACCCTAATTAGTTAGTCTGTAGAGGTAAAAATGCAAAAGTATTATTTTACACATTTGGAAAGTACAGCAAAGGTAAATTATATTATTTAATCAGGTTACATTATGAACCTTGGAGGATAGTTACTATAGGAGGAGTTACATTATGAAGCTTGGAGGATAGTTACTGCTACTTATCTTTAAAACTAAACCTTGACTACAAAAATCTATTGTAAAGCCACACAAATGTCTAATAGCTTAAACTGGTGTTCAAATATAGATTACTGAATTTGACAATTCTACTAATTCTTTGATCTCATGGTAAAAATGAAAACAAGTATGTTTATCAAACAGTCTCCAGTATTTTAGAATAAAATCAATTCAGATTCAGTGCAAGTGAAGCTCAATTTAATGTATCCTTTAGATCATCACAGCAGTTCCCAAAGCCTCACAACTGGCAATGTATAGGCTTAATTTATTGACAAACATCATATGAGATCAGATTTTTTAACCCTGGAGCAAAGGAATACCTTACTGAATTGGCTGCTCCGGGCCAAATTCCACCAATTTTAGCTTGCGTGGAATCTTTTTAAATCAATGTATCTTCTTAAAATGCAAGTTACATGACAATTTTCTGAGCAAGTGTTTTTAAAGTAATTGCCCTTTGTGCTGGGACGTCGATAACAACATTTGAAAAGGTACATAGCTACCACAGTGGTGCAGTGAGTAAATTTGGACACAGCCATTTGCGAGGTGTTGTTTGGGAGTCAAGTGCTTGATGATGTAAAGTCCAGTTACTCTATGGACAATTTATCACTGATATATCTGAGTATTGGAGAGGTTTCATCAAGTGCATTTTTAAATCTTCCTGATCTTTTGTAATGACTGAAATTCCACAAAGAGGTTATGCAAACAGGAAGCAGTTCTTATCAGTGGCCCAGCTTTGTTTTAAAGACAGATTCAAAGAATTTTCATAAAGATCAAGAAGTGGATAAAAGGTTGCAAGGAAGTCCTGAGAGAAGGACTTGTTCACAAAACTTTTTTTTTTTTTTTTTCACAGAAAACCTCATGAGTTCAGGTTTTGAAGATCCTTAGAAGTAGGAAGCAAAATAACAAGCCAAGTGAAAGTATTTGCACAGAAGATTTCAAGGTAGAAGAACAACTAAAGAAATGACAGCTATTTTACAAGCAAAGAGAAACAGGCCCAAAAAACCACAAAACTGCTAAACATGATTTTATTTCCTTCTCAGCCTCTGGGCAGCTGACTAAATTCAAGAAACATGAAGGACCACCAATCACAGTGCATTTCTGTATGGTCTGACACCAAACAGCTGTATCCCGGGTGCAGCGTTAGGTGGCAGCCATGTTCCGCACAAAAACTGAGAGCCCTCATCTCAAAAATTCCCCAACTGTACTGAGATACTTGTTCCCTAACCCAACATGAATCAAAGAAATGAAAGTTGCTTAGTATGTAACTTTTAGGCTATATTTATGCTGCAGTCACTTCTCTGATCTCAGCTCATGATCATACCCCTCATTGCCATCAGAACAGGTAGTTGAGATGCTTACGGTGGTGTCTCCACATCCAGTTCACCTCCTGTTCAGTCCGCTGAGATGTTCTGCTGGAAACACACATCCGTCATTTCCTCAGCTTGCTGGCTGACAGCTGGTTTAGGTGCGAGTTGGGCTGGTAACCATCACTGCTGTGTACACCAATCCATACAAAACCCTTGCTGGTCAGCAGAAACAGTAATCAGGAAGGCTCGAGTCCAGGCATTTAAAGAAGTTGTGAAAAGAGGTTTTCTACCAGAGAAAGCAGGTTGTGAGCCATTGCCCCCCCACACACACACACACACCCCCCCACACCCCACACACCCCACCCCGTGCAAGGACAGGTAGCTTAAAACACTGAAAATACTTAGGCACTGCAGTAAAATTTTTTCTGTCTTTTAGTTACAGAACCATTCATTAGACTTCATGCCATCAAGATTTCCTTCTACAACAGTGAATGCTTATTGACTAATAGAAACATAGAGATGTTCTCAGCTGAAATTCCCGTACAGTCATAGAGCTGTATGAGCTGAAGCTTTAAGAAAAGCATTTAGTATCCCAAGGTTCATTGTAAGATTGCAAAACTGGCAACAGCGAAAATAACTGTAACTAAGGGGGTTGGGGGAATGAATGCAAAGGGAAAAGGCTCCCCTTGTATGGGGAAAGTGAGGGTTGTGGAAGTCAGAAGAAAAGGCAGTTAGCAGGGAGACTTTTCTGGAAGTTTAAAAGAACAAACCAAGTGAGAGGAGGGGAAAGACACTGGAGCAGAGGAAGATTTATGTGAGGAGATTTAGAAAGAAGCGTGAGAGTTGTTGTGGGGAAAAAAGGGTGTGAAACAAGAACAGCACCCATTCTTCACGGTGCTCACAAGCAAGGGCTCCAAGGACAGTGCTGACTGATGAAATATCCATCCCCAGTGATGTATCCACATTGCTCCATCCGTTTTTCCTGACTGCCATTTATGTGCACCATGCCATAATTTGGAAAGCGTATTCCTCATGTTATTACTGTTCCATGATCAGCTGCATCCCTACACAGTGGCCACCAGTTTCTATTTACCTGCCCCTTTGTACTTAAATATTGCTTTAAATGTTCAGTGTAATCATAGATTTACCACTTTTTAAAGACTGGCAGCTGACCACCTCATACAAAATATTGTCCTCTCTCTATTGAACATAAAGGCTGCTTCTGATTGTCTACAGTGATATACTTAGTCTAACTTTTTAGGACAGTTTTTAGAAAAAAGGGGGTTTATTTCAGTTTAATAATTTCTACTGCTTGTACTAGTCGAAAGCTTACAGAAATCACATTACTTTATGTACTTTCAATGTCTCATTTGGATTTTTGTATCTGCAAATTTCTTTACATGATTTTTTTTTTTTTTACACCCATAATTGAAGCGTATTGGACTTTACTCGTGCAAGCTTCTTTGTCCTGCTTATCACTGAAGGGTTTACAGCGTATCTCCAATCTCTCACTGCTGATATATTATCCTGTAGTTAAATAAGAGAGCCTTAAAGTGTGGATGAAATTTAGCATTCATTTTAAACCCAGTATCTGTAGTGATGTATTTTAGTCCATTCTATCAATTCCACCAATACTACCATAAACAAAATTCAAAATGCAGATTAGTCTAGAATAATTTTTCTCTCTCTACTGGATGCTGGTGGCCATAGTACATGAAAAATATAATTTGGACAGAGTTATGTTAAAAACACATACATTTTAATTTTCAACTCTATAAATCAGGATACATTGGAACTACCTTTTTTGGTCTTGGATCTTGGTTACGCTAGTTTGCGTGGCTAAATCAAGCCTGTGGCATCTGTCATATACTGTTTGTTGCTCATCAAAAATTGCATTTATATTTGCAACTAATGTAGTTGGCAAATTCTTGAATGTTAAAATTATAATTATGGTTAAACTTAGAGGCCAAAGATATATAGCTGTAAAAACATATAATGAAAAGAGGGTTATTATTTCAACAAATTTGCAGCTAACTGTTTGTTGTAAGTTTTTGTCATTAGAAAAAACAGAGTTGGAACAGAGTGATACTGAATCGTGATTATATGCAAACCATCTGGTGCTAAAGATGTTAATTTTACAGCCCTTGAAAAACAAGTGAACAACGTAAGTGTTCTGATAACAAATGGGATGTTATTTTGGTTTTTAAAAAATCCTTGGAATTATCTTCTAATCAAACATTAAAACACAAGAGCTCTTAAACGTCTGATTGCTCATTTTAAAGAGTTAACAGATTAAAAGATATGTTTTTACTTGATAAAAAAGTGGGCAGTTTGTGTTTGTTCTTCCAGATTCAACAGCATTTTGATTCTTTTTTTCCAGTTTAGGGCCCAACATCAGTCCCAGCTAAATCAATAGAAAAACTAATTTGAATTTGGAATAGATGCAGCTTTAATAATGAAGCAAGCCTCACAAGTCAGTAATGCTAAGTGGAATAGCATGCTTCTTCCGTCTCCTTTCAGTCTGAGACTTCCTTCTGCATTTGACAAACACAGGCTGTTCTCGAGAAAAACAGAGACATATTGTTCTTGCTTCCTGTAAGGTGATGTAACTG